AGGTATGCTTTACTGATGTAATTGTTGTGTACTGTTGAGTCGGAATGACCCATAGTGGTTGGGTTTTCAAAGGCATTTAATCACATACGAGGAGATTGCCCATCTTTTCCCCACAGACCACCTGGTGGATTCCAACTAGCTCTAACTATGGAATTAGGTGTTTGCTTTAAACTATAAAATCATGTAATTCTGAAATGAGTAAAAATCGAGTAGTCCTACAGTGAAATCTCCTTTCTTAAGTAGATAATCTCCACTGGCTTTAGAGTTGGACTCACCCAAAAGGGTCACTTCCGGAATTCTGAGAGTATGGCATCTGAGTGCAAAAGATTAGGTTTCCTTAGATATCAGTGTGCCTAAACTGTGAGTCAGTAAGGGCTGGTTGTTAAAGAACATCAAAGGCATAAAGTAGTTGCTTGGAAAAGAAGTGACATACAAGTGGGAAAAAACCCTCAAAGTTACCAAATTGATATAAAGTAGCCCATATAACAAAGATGGTAATTTTGATATTCTTCTTTGTTTAAATTATTTGAGTTATTAAAATATATTGAGTGTGCAGACATTCTTTGGATCAAAACTAAAAAACCTCACTGTCATCAAGGTGGTTCTTCCACCTCATAGCAGCCTTCCAGTGATTTTCCAAGGCTGCGTGTTGCACAGGTGAAGATTACTCATCTTTCTCCCTTGAAGGGGCTGGACTCCAGGCTTTGGGTTAGCAATACAACTTGGCTATGCTCTACACCACCAAAGCTCTCTATTCTTTAGATAATGCTGTTGAATAATGAAACAGGAATGCTGGTGGTAGCTAGACTGGGATTCTGCCATACCTAGGGAGCATTTGGGTCAGTGAGCAGTTAGTAGCTTCCCCCTTGGGGAATGGTAATAATTGAGACATAAGTGAAGGAATTCCCCTCACAGTCTCAATCTGCTTCAGCCACCCCATGGGAAACCATTTTAATCAGAAAAAGAAAAACATTTTCTTGCCATTTTATACTACCTTAAAAACATGGCTGAGGGACAGAAGAAAACAAGAAAAAAAGCTTTTCATTTTAAAGCCAAGCAGCTTGGAAATCTAATGTCAAACTGAATTTGTACTTCTAAATGCTTGTATGACTCAGTTGTTCCTTCTAATAAAATGTGCATTGCGTTTGTGCTGGGTCTGTGACGGATTTAATGCCCTTCATTGAGAAGGAAGGAGCCTCCTCTGGCCAACAGAACTGTAATGGTGTTCTTCTAGTTTGCCCTGGCTTCCATGATTCTGTAGGAAACCTCTTAATAAAAATTTAATATACTCAAGGAAATTCTACTAAGAATTAGTGTTAGACATTGACCCTAGTTGACAAATGACATGTTGTTGTTAGGTGTGATCCAGTTGTGTCAGAATTCTAGTGACCCTGTTCAGCAGAATGAAACCTTGCCTGAGTCAGTGCCATTCGCACAATATCTGCTATGCTTATCTCCATTATTATAGTCACTATGTTGTTCCTTGTTCCATCTCATTGAGAGTCTTCCTCTCCTGACTTTCCAGTTTTCCAAGCATGATGTCCTTTTCCAGAGTCTGGCTTCTCCTGATAGCATACCCACAGTAATTGCGTCAAAGTCTTACCATTCTTGCTTCTAAGGAAGTAAATTATGTGTTATTATGAATGATGTATTATTAGGGCTTATAGGTGTTAATTGAACATTATCATTGGTAACACATGCAAGCATGATTTTGCTGAAGATTATCCAAAATCGACTGGAACAGCACATCAACAGAGAACTTCCTGAAGTGCAGGCTTTGTTTAGAAACTGCTGTGGTACTAGGGATATTATAAGTAATGTCAGATGGATCTTGGCTGAAAGCAGAGAGTACCAGAGGAATGTCTATCTGTGTTTAATTGACGATGCAAAGGCATTTGACTATGTGGATCACAACAAACTGTGGCTGACTCTGAGAAGAATGGGAATCCCAGAACACTTGATTGTGCTTATGCGAAACCTATGCTTGGACCAGGAGGCTCTCGTCAGAACAGAGCAAGGAAACACTGCATGGTTCAAAATTGGGAAGCGTGTATGCCAGGGATGTGTTCTATCTCCATATCTTTTCAATCTATATGCAGAACAGATTATCTGGGAGGCTGGGCTCTATGAGAAGAAATGTGCCGTTAGGATTAGAGGTAGACTCATAAAAAATCTGCATTATGCAGATGACACAGTCCTGCTGAAACTGAGGAGGACCTCAAGCTCTTGCTGCAGAAGATTGAGGACTGCAGGCTTCAGTATGGATTGAAGAAAACAAAGATTCTCAGCACTGGGCCAATTGGCAGCTTTATGATAGATGGTGAAGAGACTGAAATTGTTAACAGCTTTAGTTTGCTTGGCTCCACAATCAAC